CATAATCAAATATAACTTTTCTCTCGGACTCAAAAATAGTTTTCATGAATTGGAAAAGTTTTTTAATGTCTTGAATAAAATAAGACGATGTCATGAGAAAAAGAATTATCACTCGTTGTAAGCGTTGGGAGACCGGGCTCACTTGCCACTTGGGCTAGAAATGGAGTCGCCACCCATCAAGTTAGGAGATGGAGGTGATGGGACCTCCGAGGAAATGATTTTCTAAAACATTTTGTTTTAATAGTGACTCCAAAGCCCAAGACACCGGTCCAACCAGTCTAGGTAAGGCTCAGATGGGAGAGGGAAGGGGTTAGGCACCCCTCTCCCGGGTCCAATAGGTGGGGCCCACATGGTGTTCCATGACAAGAAAGCAAAAAATAGGGATAGAATATCTAACTAATCTGAATCAGTCCGGAACAAACCATATTAAAGAGAATAAACCAAAAGACCAAGAAAGCGCAACTAATCAATTCTAGAGAAGTTACATATTAACTATTATTCCAGCTAATGTAATTAATTGGAAGCAAATCCTTCAACCAGGACTGAAATAATATAAAAGATAACTAATCGGTGCAGCATCAAAATAAAAACCATAAATATAAGAAGAAGAACGCGAAAGAAATGAACACGGAAGGATGATCGGTATGAAGATGGGAAAACTAAAAATAGTCATGCGAAGAACTTTCTACTTTATAATCTTCTTTGCATGATAGGAAAGCTACCGAAGAGAACACACAACTATAAACTATCTAAAAAAGAAATAAATAACCGATCAATTAATCCTGCTACTAAGCAGCTTGGGAAATGCATTGGAAAGGCAATGGCTAAGCATGCAACAAAATAATGGCAAAAATGTAAAGATAAGAAGATAACAGAGATTCGGTAAATGTGCCAGCAAAATAAAAGAAAACAAAAGAAAATAAAAGAAAGTAGGGAAAAGGAAAGACGAACACAAAAGTGGAGTAACCATCTAACAGTGAGATTTAAACTTAATATAACATCAAAGTAATTCAAAATAACATGAAGACTAACAGAGGAGCGAATAGCTAACAAAAACTATCAAAACAGATGAGAGAATAAATTATCATAAATAAAAAAAAGACTATCAGAAACTATTGGAAATAGAAAAAGACTATCAGGAGCAAGGATTTAACAAAGGAACATAACTAAAGTAGAACCAATAGAGAATTAGCTTCTCCTTTCCCCCATTCTTCAACCATGCATAGATAAGAAGCCAGAATATGAAAATGAAAGCATGAGAACAGGGATAACAAGTTGAGGGAAGATTACCTACTCACGCTTGCTCCCAAAACGTAGTCGATGGAGTTAGATACCTCGATGGGGCGAAGAATGATCTACTTCCAGATTTCAGTGAAACCTGGGTTATCTGGCCAAGTTGAAATCGACATTGCAGGTGCTCTGTTCGAAAGCAAGTGTACTCTGGTTGGGTCTGATGGTTGATGCGGAATAAGGGGAAAAGAGGAAAGATAGGGAATAAGGGAAGGTACTGAGCAAAAACGTACGATAGAGAGGGTTAAGTGAGGCGTCATTTTGCTCTTCGATTCCTAGGTTAAATGAGGCATCATTTTACTTTCATATTAGGATAGGGAACATTTCGTAATTTTGGAGAAAACGAAGGGGTTTTGGTAATTTTCAGCAGGTTGGGTTGAACTGGATCCAGAGATTGAACTGGATTCTTGGGTCAATGATGGGTGGTTCTGGGTCAAGAATGGAGGGTTGAGATGGGTCTAACGGTTGATAAGGGTTTTGATGCATGGGCTAGTAAGATTGGTCGAAATGGAATTTTTTTTATGGAAGGGTTAACAAGGGAATTTTTGGCGGAAATTTTGTGGGGTGGGGTCTTCGGACATTCTGGGTTGATTGGCGAGGTTAGATTGGTAAGACTAGGCCCAGATTGGGCAGATCTATAAAGAATTCAATTTAGTTAATCAATGGGCTCGAAATGAAATCTTTGTGTGATAAAGGGGAAAATAATGGTAGTTTTGGGTGAAAATTCTCCGGGTAGGGTTTTTGGGTAGTATGAGATGACTGGTACAATCAGATTGAGCCAATTGGGCTAGGATCGGGTATATTTGTAATTCAGTCAATCTAAAACCTTGAAATGGAATCTCGGTATAATTGAGGGTAGATGGAGGTGTTTTGGGCTAGAATTTCTCATAAATGGTTTTTGAGTAGTATGAGATGATTGGTAAACTCAGATTGAGCCAACTAGGCCTGGTTTGGGCAAACTTGGAATCCGGTCAATCTAGAGCCTCGAAATGAAATCTTTATGTGATCAAGGGTAAATGAAGGTGTTTGGGGTTGGAATTTCTCAGGGTAGGGTTTTGGGTAGTCAAAGATGATTGGTAAACGCAGATTGAGCCAACTAGGCCCGGATCGAGTAGACTTGGAATCCGGTCAATCTAGAGCCTTGAAATTAAATCTTTATGCAATCAAGGGTATATGATGGTGTTTTGGGCTGGAATTTCATATGTAGAGGTTTTTTGGTATTATGGGGTGATTGGAAAAAGTTTCATTGAATTAGATTTGTTCAGATCAAGTGGATATGGGTCGTAGGTGAGAGAATGGTCGAAGTTAAATCTTTGTTTGATGGACGGGTGAACGAAGGAATCTTTAGTTCAAATTTCATTGGTAGGTGTGTTGGGATGTTGCGGGTCTGATGGTTGTGTTTGATCTAATTGTTAAGGTGTAAGTGAGGGTCGATCGGGGTTATCAGATAGGTTTAATGATGGATCTAAGGGCTCTCATGGTGAAATTTGGGTTTTCTGGGTTTTTGGAGAGGTCGAAAGGGTTTGATCGGATGTTTGGGGTGAATTGGAGGTTTAGGCAGCAAATTGAGCAAAAATCGGGTGCTGACACTAGCTACAATGGACCATTTTGAATCTAAGACCATTAAAGTGTTGATATGGCTATCAACTTCATTTGCGATTCTATCACAAGCATCATATAGTGGATAAAACTAACAATGGCAAGCCTTAAGTAATTAAAACTTCACTTGATACATGATAAAAAAGGGACAAATATACACTAACCTATCATTCTAAAATTAATAAATGTTGAAATTGTTGTCCAATTAGCCTTACCCAAGAGGGGGTGAATTGGGTTCGAAAAGATTTCCCCCCAACTAAAGCCTTAAATGCAAAGATAGTGAAATCGAAGGTAGTGTGTGCAATGCAATGTGATCCAATTAATAAAGTAAATAAGTAATTAAGTAAATCAACTACGATAAAGTAAGGCACACAAATATTTGCAGTGGTTTGGCCAAACCCAAGCCTATGTCCTCTCCTTAGGCAAGTTTTTGTGAATTTTCATTAACTTGGTTGGACTTTTAGGTCCAAACAAAACATTCCAATATATAATTGGACTCTTAGGTACCAATAAGACCTTATGTAGTAGTTAAACTTACATGTACCAACAATTAAGACCTAAACAGTTGAGCTACTAGGTGTCAACCAAACCTAAATAGTTGGACTTGTGGGCACCAACCAAACCTTTGCTGGTTTGGTTGAACACCTTATTATAGCAAGATGATAAATAATGAAAATCACAAATAATATAATGCCTTGTAAAAGGCTAATAAAATTGATACAAGCAAACTATTCAAACGTAAGATTAGTTACTTGAAGATATTTGGGAAATCATAGTGAGAAACTAATATGCCCAAAGGCTACACAAGTGGTTCTCACTTGTATGAATTTATTGAGCTTAGAAATTTAATCTAAAATGCGTTTTTTTTTTCATATAGAAATTTTCACAAATTAAGCTCTTGAGTTTTTTCAATTGAAAACAACTAAGTTACAACAATAGAAAGTATATGTGTTTCAACACCCGTTTTTTGCTCGGCCCTCTCTCGAACTAGGGGTGCATGTCAGGCGGGTTGGGCATGGTTTATGGTTAACCTGGGCCCGCCCCTAAAATTTGGGCATAATGTCCGAGCCCAAACTGAGCTCGATCTTCCCAACCCAAGCCTAGCCTATAGTGTAATTTAATGCACTCACGTTGGTCAATGAACCCACTCTAAAAATATACGTATATATATATATATATATATATATATATATATATATATATGTCAGTTTTCGGTTGGATTCGAGTTACCTAAGGGCTAGGTCCGAGCCCATGTAAAATTTTGAGCAAGGCAGGTTTGAGCTCGGGCTGAGCCTACCCAAGTTGCACCCCCTATCATGAACACCCCAATACATACTTTCAACACCCGATCAAACTATTTTGATCTCCCTAAAACACCAAACAAACAACATAAAGACCGCATATCTTAGTTATTTCTTATTAATAGAATGCTACAATGCTATTTACAATATTCTTTGTTAAACCTGCATAGTGTGCTATCTTAGTGTGGGATTGTATTCTTAATTTATTTATTTGTTGTTTTTGTTTGTTGTTGTGATTTTTTTGGATGGTTGTTTTTGTCTTTGGTGGTGCTTTGGCAATGAATTTTCTCTTATAGGTTAACTTTGGTTTACTTTACCTAGAATCTTTTTTTTTTTATTTACTTTTATCAATACATCTAAAAAATGATGCATATGTAAATCCTTTTTTTCCATCTCACTTGGTTTTCATTCCAATCTAAACACTAGATTAAATGGAATCACCAATTTTGAATGCTTTCATGCTAATTTGGGCAAAATCCTATTTTATATACTTATTATTTAAATAACTATAAAAATAAGAGATATTCAAACTCTTATTTGCTCCTAAATAAGATATAACTCAAACATCCATTGAAGATAGGCACATGAATGTTCCAATTTTGGCATCACTTAACCGACTCAGAGCATAACTAAAATGTAAGTCATCTCATATCATAGAAGCCAAAAATCATACAATTAATCCCTCTCCAATTTCAACCTATCCCTGAAAACTATATAAATAAATATAAGCTGTAACTTTCTAAACTAACTAACTAAATAAATCTTCTCATTTATGCACCTTATAAACCCAAGGCTTTCATTATCTGAACAGTCTCTCTCCACCGTGCTTTGTTCGTTCCTTCCCTCCTCTCTTTCTTTTTCTTTCTTTGTTTTTTTTTTTTTTTTAATTTCGGGGCCTCGATCGAATCGAACTAATCCTCTGCAAATCCCCAAAATATCCTCACAATAAAGGGCATGTTCGACCTTTAATCCCTCATTTGGTTTCTCAGATTCGCCACGGAGAATCTTTCCAAGGGAGTTGAGATTTCTAGGGTTTCTTCCTGTTGTATTTTGAGCTTCCTTTCTGGTTGGTTGGGAGGCTTACTTTCGAGGGCTCTGGTCGTCTTGGGTGCTTCGTATTCGCAGATCTGAGTTTCGGAGACTCGTGGAGGCGATTTCGCAGTTCAATTGCGTCTGTCAAGATGTTTTGGCGTATGGCGGGATTGTCCACCGCGTCTCCTGTGAGTTGGCGTTGTTAAACCTTCATTTCTTTAGATTAATCTTCTGGTTTGATTGAATTTTTTAATTTTCGTTTTTTTTTTCTAACGGCGAAATTGTTTTTGGGAGGAATTTCTCTTGTTCTCAAGCTATACAAATTGATTGCTTATGTTTTTTTTTTTTGGTTTTTTATCCCGTCAGTTTATGCTCATGAAATAGATAATTTTGTAATAGAAAAATTCCGTTTATTACTTGTAAATGCTACGTTTGGCCAGATTGCCACTTTCCGGGCCCCGAAGGATTGAGCTATTCTTTTAATCAGTGATYGAAAATTGAAATGCAATTTTATTAGTTATTCTTTTTGGTTCATTACCTCCTTTTTCAATGGAAGTGAAGCTTGAATAGAAGTCATATTTGGTTAGGTTTGAAGAGCACGTTTTTGAAGAAAAAAGATTGAACTTCTATTATCGTTGTGGTATAAATACCTATTTTCAATTTTCAGTATTCTTGTCTTGGAATGGGGTTTAATAGATAACAGGAAAATTGTTGGGGCACCTGTAAGAATGAGTGCTATTTGGGGCATTTAGAGAGAGTGCTTATGCTACATTTATTTCTCTCATGCATACGATGGTAGGGGCCTCTAGAGTGAAAGACTTTAGAATAATAAGTGTAATCACCAGTTCATATAAGACCATTGCAAAAGTCTTGTGAAGAAGGTTGATAATCTATTCTGGTTGTGGTTTTAGGGCTTATTCAAATGGCTTTTTGTTGAGGGAAGACATATTTTGAATAGGGTGTTAATAGTAGGTGAATGCACAGGTGTAAGAATTAGAAGTGGGAGAGCAGGTGTGATTTGCAAACTTGATATTTGGAAGGCATATGATCATGTGGGGTGGGGTTTCTTGGAACAAGTGATTGAAAGGATGGGCTTTGGGGAGAAACACAGAAGCTGTATTTTTGCTTGAATTTTTAGAACTTCCTTTTCAGTGCTGGTCAATGATGTGTGAAAACTTTTCCAAGCAACAAGGGGATTAAGACAAAGAGATCCATTATCTCCTTACTCTTTGTATTGGTGCTGGAAGTGCTGGGCAAAATGATTATTAAGGGAGTGGATAGGGGGATGCTGGAACGTTTTAGAGTTGGAAGAGAAGATCTAACTATCTCACACTTGTAGTTTGCAAATGATACTCTGATTTTCTTGGATGTTAACAGTAGATCAATGTGTTAAGACTAAGAGCAATTCTCAAGTGCTTTGAGGTGTTGGCTGGTCAGAAAATAAACTTGAACAAAAAGTGTCATGATTGGTGTTGGTAATGTAGTTGGGATAAGGCTTGGATGATGATCATTGATATTTGTAATATCTCGCAAATATCATTAGAAGCTTTTGCAGGGGCTTTGGGGGAATTTCCATTTATATATCTGGGGCTTCTAGTTGGAGCAAAATCATCTTCGCCTTCTATTTAGCAACCAATCTAGGATAGGATTGAACAAAGAGTGGCTGGTTGGGAGAGGAAATATCTATGATTGGGTGGGCGGATAGTTTTGATTAAGAGCATTCTATGATTTCTATCTAATATCTGTCTATTACTTAAAGTTCCAGCCTTGGTTGTGAAATCAATGAAAAACTTCAGAAGGGCTTCTTATGGATCATTAGGAGCCAAGTAAGAAAATACCTTTTGGTGAAGTGGGAGCAGGTGTCTAGGGATAGGAAAGATGGGAGTTTGGGGTTTAGAAGGTTATGCGATCTATCTCCAAGATTGTATAGGTTGAGCAGGAAAAACATCCAGTTTACAATGCTATGAAGTTGTTTGGGGTGCCAAAAATTTAGAAGACTGCTTCTTGATTGGGAGGTTTAGCAATATGTTAACTTGCTAGCTAAGTTGCGGGCAGCAGAGCTGAACTTAGGAGGGCTGATTTAAGGTGGTGGAGGGAGAGTAGCAAAGGGAGGTTTTCTGTAAAGTCATTCTACAAAACATTATTAGGGAATCAGTTTGAAAAGGAAGACATTAAATGTGTTTGGCGCAATCCTATTCCTCCTAGGGTTGAGGCTTTTGCATGGTTGGGGGCTTTGGACATCATACTTACCCAAGATTACATAAAAACAGGATACCCAGTTGGTGGGAAGATGTTATCTTTGCCAAGTGGAATTGTTGTTATGCAAATATCATTTATGGGTATTTCTCCTTGTTTAGAATGGAGATGTGGGTTCCAAGATCATTGAAAGAGATCTTTTGCACTTTGGCCAGCCTTAGGAAGGCATAGATAGTTTGGAGTTGTGTGCCATTTGCAATATGTTGGGAGCTATGGAAGGAAAGAAATAGAAGAAATTTTGAAGATTAATATGAATGTCATAATTGTCTTGTCTCAATTATTGGGAAAATGAATTTTGGATTGGGTTTTGATTCTTCCAGAATTTGTAGATGTTTGTAAAGACTTATTCAGATCTGGAGTTCAGCCGGTTTTAGAGTTGGAATGGGGGGAGGGGATGTTGCAATCAAGGATTTAAATATCGATACGATATGTTTGATACGGGACGTATCGTATTGGTATTGGTCAGAGGGGATACGGGATATGCTATGATTAAACCTGTATCCCTTGAATCACGTGTATCGGAGCAATACGCATTCGTATCGGCCCGTATTGTGTTGTATCGACTGATACACACTGTTACGGAACGATACGCTGTGTTTCTGTGCACGTGCGCGTTTATCCATAAAAAAGGCCACTGAGTGATTCGAACACGAGTCACCCAGAGTTAGAGCTTAAACGCGCGCTTGATCCACTAGGCCGCTTTTTATCTTATGAAAGACAATGAAATAAAATATATTTTTTTTCTATACTAGTGTCCACATTTAATTTGAACAAATTACATTTTTGTTTAACAATTCTAGCAAAATAAAAAATAATAATATTCAAAACTAATATTGTATAAACTAATAGAATAAATAATTTCTTAAATCCACATTTACATAAAAAAATTGTTTATTCTCAAGAAATTTATACGAATAAAGATATTAATAATAGAATAATTATTTTAGTACTTAGTATTTATAAATTTGAATATGATATGTATCTTAAATTTTTATAAATTATTAATTAATATTTTAATTTGAACTAAATAAAAGTATATTTATCATTTATAAAAATAAAATATTATTTACAAAAACCTCGAGTATATAATATAAATTGAATTTGTCAAATCGATTAATCTACATTTATATCAAAAAATGATTTTTTTTATCTCAAAATTTATGGAAATAAAAATATTAATAATGGAATAATTATTTTAGTAGTTAAAAATTATGAATTTGCATATGATGTGTATCTTAGAAAATTTAATATATTTGATATATTTTAAGTTAATGTTATATCTTTTTATAAAATTTTAATTTATATTTTAATTACATTTTATAATAACGTGTTTATTGTTTACAAAAATAAAAATATTGTTAACTAAACATTTGAGAATTAATTTTTAGTTGACTTTCGGTTACTAATAAAAGTAAAAAATAGTAAAGTAGAAAATAATCGATGTAATAATTCACATAAAATAGTTGCATATGTTTTGTGCCTTGAAATTCAGTAGAAAATAACATAATAATAGCTTTATGTATCTATTAATTTGTAAAAAAAATTATAATATGTTTAGGATTCTTGATTGATACATTATCAATAAAATTTTATGATTCTTATGCATCCCGCTATAAAATAATCGATATAGTAATTCACATATAATAGTTGCATATGTTTTGTGCCTTGAAATTCAATAGAAAATAACATTATAATAGCTTTGTGCCTGTAGTAATTTGTAAAAAGTATATATAGTATGTTTCAGGATTCTTGATTGATAAAATATCAAAAAATTTTATGATTTCTATGCATCCCACTATATTAATTGTAGTATATTTCTTCACATATACATTTAGAATATATATTTTCTATTATCTATACATTAATTATGGCTATTTTGATCTTAAAACTAATGTTATTAATGTATTTATGGAATTTATATGCATTTTTTGACGTATCCATATTTTTTCGTCCGTATCCATGCGTTTCTAAAGTGTATCCTTATCCGAGTGGTTCGATACGATACCTGATACCGATACTTTAATCCTTGGTTGCAATTTTCTTTTTGATGCATTATGTACTTATTTATGGGTAACTTCTCATCACCCCTCCTTGTGCTCTTTTTCTTTGTTCTAATAAAATTTCTTTTTTATTTATTAGAAAAAAACTCAGAGAAACAACCAACACTTCGTAAGAATTACCCAACAACTCAACCACTACCCAAAAACAAACTTCTTAGTGATCCATGTAGCTAAAGTTGATAATCAAGTGGCAGTTCTGTAATTTCTGACATATGTAGCTAAGGTTGATTTTCTCTAAATTTAAAATTTGTGGTTGTTTCTTAGTGTGCCAATGGGTTAGAATAGTGTTATAGAAGTTTATTTACGTTTCTTAGTCAGGTTTAACAGTTAGGTTCACTTAGGTGACAAGGGTGAAGGTTAAAAAGGAATATTTATTTTTTAAATTTGTAGGATAAGGAAAACAATCCAATGGTTGGATGTCCCTCTTTCTTTATTTTAAATATAACCATTCTAAGGCCATCAGAAATTAGAATAGTCAGCATAAGTAATAAAGATGAAAATTAAACAATTGGCATTCTTAAGAAGTCTTTTTTTTTTAATTTTCTGAAGGTAAATATTGGTTATGTGGGTCTGAAGGTAAATCTTTCTTTAGGTTTCTTTATTCTATTTTGTATTTGCTTTTTTCAATTATTTCTGTGTTTTTTTCTGCAAATTGTCTTCTTTTGCTGGAATGTTCTATATTTTTTTGGTGTTAATTTCTGCTATTTCTGCATATTGGCGTCCACTTGACTTGTATAGAGAGATGTTAAATGCGAAAGAAAAAAAAAAGAAATTGTTTTGAGTTACAACAAGCCTCAGAGTTAATGAAACCTACAATGTAAGGCATGGGGTTGGCTGAAGGAGTTCATAACCATTAATGACCATTTTTTTTGATGAATAGAACTGTTGGTGACCATTGGATCACCTTCTCTGGGATCTTATTCATAATCATTGACAATGCTCTAACTTTTTCCCTCTTTTTTAGGGCACGCCAAGTGTGAAGTGTTTGGTTGGCCAAGCAAATTCCACAGTCACCTGTTGTCTGTGTGTGACTGTTCCCATCAATCCATCACCATTCATTATTCTCTGACCGTTTATTAGTATGCAGAGCCACACAGGTATGTATTGGGTGGATGTGAGAGACTCAGTGACTCACTCAGCTCCATAAGCTCTAAGCCCAAACTCTTCCTTTAGCTCTCTGGGATTTGACAAGTAACTTCAGGATTCTTCTTTGATTTTCAGCTCTACGCCCTTCAATCTGTACATTCTTCTGTTGGACAAAATGCTCTCCGTTCCAGTGTGCAATTGAAACAACCAACCACTTAGTTCAGGTAGATTCTGTTGAACTAAATTTTTTGGTAGATAGATTCTAATAAACTTATTCATTTCTTCTTTTTCTGTTCTTAAATCATCTGAAAGCCTAGGTTAGCCTTTTGGAGCATTCTAAGGAAAAAATTATTACCTTTATCTTTGTGAGCATTCAAAGGAAAAAATTATTATGTTTGAACCATTGGTAACCTCTAGAAAGTTAACTACGATTCTTTAAGCAATACATATTTTCCTCCAATATCATTCAAAGGAAAGCCCAAAAAAGAACTACTTAAAGTGGTTTTTTCCCTGTATAAATTACTATTTTCTTAACTGTGATTGCTTGTTTGGTATTTCTCATTTGAAAAATGAATTTCTTCCAAGGAATTAAGAGGAATCTTAATATTTTCTTTTTCTGGATTTTTAATGAATGTATTCCTTTTTTTCTTGTTATTTTTATGTTACTTGATTGTAGTGGGTTCTAAGCTTGAACGGGACTTGCGTTTTAGGAGGGGAATCGGAGGTTTGGATATTGATATTGTCTTGGTACTTCAAATTCTACGAAGGATTTTATTGGACCTCTCAAAATTGGATTCTCGGATTTGGATCCTAAGCTCATTTGGTGCTTTTACTTGTGCCTGTTTTTTCAAAGCCTTAACTCAACCTTCTGATAGTCTTAGGAAACCCTTTCCAGCTAAAAGGCTGTCTTAGTGCTGCAGGGGCAATAATGCAATTTTTACTTTATTTTTTGATCGGCCAAAGCCTTAACTCAACCTTCTGATAGTCTTAGGAAACCCTTTCCAGCTAAAAGGCTGTCTTAGTGCTGCAGGGGCAATAATGCATTTTTACTTTATTTTTTGATCGGCCAAATATAAATACCAATGTTGGCATGACCAACACAACACTTTGGCTCTCATTCTTCTTCTTCTCTCTCCTCTCCTTTCCTCATTGTTGGGTAGCTGCCCAACAGATCCTCTTTGAGGGAGGATAACCTCCAGAATAGGGGAAAGTGAGAGTGAAGAGAGAAAGAGATCAAATCTTCTTATTTAACCCTTATTGTAAGTACACCTCTGTATTTATATTCAGTCTTGCCTTCAATGTAACTGATTTACAGCAGAATTTTAACCACTTGCCAGCTTGTTTGATTTAGTTTACTCCAACTGTCTTTGCACTGGCTTCCTTATGCTGAGGTGGCCGTAACTGATTAATAACAACTTGCCAACTTGTTTGATTTAGTTTACTCCAACTTGATTCATGAACTCCAGCTGTCTTTGTATCGGCTTCCTTATGCTGAGGTGGCCTTCTTCTTCTAGAATATACTTGTAGTTCCTGTCTCCTTGTGCCTCTAACATCTCCCCACTCCTCAAGCTGGTACTTGTCCTCGAGGCCAAGGTGTGGAAAGTGTTGCATCAACTCGGTGCAAGGCTCCATGCGGCTTCTTCATTTGGTACCCCTTCCTAGCAGACTAATGCCTCTTTAATAAAGGCTTGACCTTGTTTCACCCATCTATATTTCAAGATATCCTTGGGTCATAGCTGTAGCCACCCTTCTTCTGCGAATTCCGGTAATGTTGCATATGTGGTTTGTGGATTGATAACTTACTTGAGGACATAGACATGGAAAACTAGGTGTATTTTGGAGTCAATTGGCATTTTCAGCTTGTAGGCTAGTGATCCTATGTGTTGTAGAATTTTGAATGGTCCATAGAACCTAAGGGCAAACTTGTTGTAGGGGCGGGAGGCCACTGAGGTCTGTCTATATGGTTTGAGCTTTAGGTAGACAAACTCGCCTTCCTAGAACTCAACAAGCATGTGTTTTGCATCATAATAGCGCTTCATCAATTCTTGAGCATGTGTCAAGTGAGCCTTCAGTTTACAAATGATTTCATCTTGGGATGAAAGACCCTCATCAACCGTTGCATTAGCTGAAGACCCTTTTCATAGGGTAGAACTGATGGTGGGTATCTGCCGTATAATGCTTTAAGTGGTGTCATACCTGCTAAGACTTGGAATGAGAAGTTGTACCAAAACTCTGCCCAAGGCAGCCATTGTATCCATTGTTTAGGTTTGCCCCCCACAAAGCATTGTAAATATGTCTCGATGCATCTTGTGTGAAGTGCCTTGTAACTTGAAATATTCTCTCCAAAAATTGTTGAGGAAGGTTGTGAAGGGATGGGAGATCCATCATATGGATGGACGAATCTTGTAGGAAGGTTGGGAGAAATTTCAAAATTTTTTTTCACTCCCATCCGGGAATCGTATTCCCTAATTTAGAAAACTGCATTTTTAAGGTTCGTTCTTGAAACCAAAACCGGACCAGATCTGAAACCAATAAGAAGTGAGGAATATACCTAATACGAAGTAGTAGTAACTCCTAACGCAGGTGTTCACGCTCAAAGAGAAGACCAAAACCCGCCTCCACTAAAGATGACATGGTGTGTAGTGAAACTGGATCGACAGGGTGGTTCTTGAGCAAGAACTTGAATTCTTTAATAAGAGTTGGGTAAGGGCTGGTGAGCACGACTTCAGATTGTTTCTTCTACCAAGAAACAATACCAAGAACACTTCTTGATCAGATCTACAAGTGGAGATTGAATTGGGTAGGGGCGGCAATAACTGGGAAGAATTCTGCAATTTGCTGTTGTGTGTTTAATCTGAAGAATTTGCCCCCTATTTATAGCCTTCTCTGGATCAACCTCTTAATCTAATTAGGAGAGAGTTTCCTAATCCAAATCTTATATTTGGGTATGGATTCTTAAATGGATAAGACTTATCTTATCCTTTAACTAATCCTAATCAGTTTGAAATTGAATTCGCCCCCTTTTTAATTAACTAACTTAAGCCTAGTTCGAATTGGGCCTTAGGCTCATTAAGCTTATGTGCTCACTTACTCTTTAACCTGATGCCCAGTTGGCTCTCTTTGTATGGTGTGGGACCCTAACATTGATCTACACATCAGCCACATGGGTTCAACCCAACCTTTGTTACAAGGCCTGGCCGAATTCACCGTAGGAGATAGTGAACCCTTGAGTCTATCACCATTGGCTCTTAATGGGCCCAACATTTACTCTAAATGGTTCTTGGATCCAACCACTTTATGAAAACCCAAGAACTGTGGGCATATGCAAGATTAACCCATCAGGCATTACCCTCAATGGTTGTACACTTAACCTCTTTGCCCGTAATGATTAAACACTGCCCAACAAGAGAGGACCTCTCCCTTGGCTGCAAGGTACAGTGCTGCACTCTCTACTCACATAGATCCCGAGAATTAAAACTTTTTGCAAACATTTTGAAATCATAATATATATATATATGTATATATCTTTATATAAATATATTTTGCAAAACCAAATTTCAACGTTTGAAATCAACTGCCGGCAGTTTAGGTTTCCATAAGAGAGAGTGCCTTCCCCGATCATTCACTTTGTCCGGGAAAGGGGTTGATCCTGTCACTATGATCACCCACTCAGGTGAATTCTCGGACTGCCCCAACATACCTAGGTTTTGACCCCCTCTAAGGATCTCATTGATTGGCATATCAAAGATAGCCCAATTCGACACCTAGGGGTCAGGTGTAACATTCTAGTTTTGCCCATCTATCTTCAAGGCCTAGGGCAATACTGAAATTTGGTCCGGTTCAGGGTTTCAAGAAAACTCACACTGTATGTGCCTTAGGTCTCACCCTGGCAGCTGAGACAAGCCACCCCAACCAACTTGGCGGCATATCAGTGTCAACCTTGGCAGGATAAATCTCCCCAAATCTATCCAATGACTGTGAAGATTCTAAACTAACACGAGTCTCATAAGTGTCCAGTTTAAGGGTATTACACAAAAACACACCACAATGACATGAATCAATTATGTACTTTATTCATTTACAATAAATGCCAAAAGATACATCAATTTGATTGGAGCTAAGGGCATAACTGTCTAACAGGTTGGGTCTCTATCAGAGACGATTGCATTTGGTGTCCCACAAATGCTTCTGCGACCGTAGCCGCTGTGTAAGGGTGTATTAGAGGTATAAAGTGGCTGTACTTTGATAGCCGGTCAACCTCCACAAGTAGGACTGATTTGCCTTTTGAAACAAGCAGGCCCACGATAAAATCCATTGAGATTTCATCCCATACTTGATCTGGGATGCTCAAGGGCTATAGGAGGCTGGCTGGTTGTTGGGCTTCATACTTTTGTCTTTGGCAGGCATCACAAGAGGTAATGTAACTCCTTACTGTTTTCATCATGCCACTCCAATAATAATGTGCTGCTAGACGCTTGTAGGTTTTGAATATGCCTGAATGACCCCCTATAGCTGAATCATGAAAGAGTCGTAATAATTCTGCTACGTGGGCTGACTTGGACTTGATAACCAATCGACCGTTGTAATAGAGTGTTGAGTTACAAACTGAATAACCTGGGGTCAAGGCTGGATTCTGGGTCCATTTGGCCCTTAATTGGGCCAGTTCTGTATCTTGAAAGGCTTCGGCTTTGAGCTGCTCGAGTAATGGATAACTGGGTCTGGAGACAGTGAGCTGTGCCAACTCAGGTAGCCTGGATAGAGCATCAGCTGCTCGATTAGTTGTACCAGGTTTGTATTCTATAATGTAGTCATAGCCCATGAGTTTGTGGGTCCACTGCTGCTGTTCAGGTGTGTGGAATTTTTGAACAAGTAGGAATTTCAAACTCTTGTGGTCTGTCTTGATGACAAATCGGCAACCCAGTAGGTAAGCCCGCCACTTCTGGACTGCAAGTACAACGACCATGAGCTCCTTCTCATATGTTGATTTAGCTTGATTTTGTGGTGAGAGTACTTTGCTGAAATAGGCCAATGGTTTCCCCTCTTGCATTAAAACAACTCCTAGACCTGTCCCCGGAGCGTGATACTCAAGCGTGAATTGCTTTGGGAAGTCGGGTAATGAGTGTGGAAATTGCTTGCTTTTAGTTAGTGAAGGCTTGCTGGGCTTGCTCACTCCATTGAAATGCATTTTTCCTTAATAATTGGGTGAGTGATGCTATCAGCCTTG